ATCATTGGTGAGTTCAAAGTTAATCTCTGTCTTTGCACTGGTACTGGATAGCTTGAAGTACATGCAAGCTAGGGGCCTCCAACTTTTGGAGCCTTTTTCAGTTGAAATTAATTTATTAAGGTAATTTTGTGCTAGTCATATTTAGAAACCCGTCCCTGTATTGAACTCTATAGCTGGGGTAAGGCTGTGTGCACATCTAGGGACTATCTGTTCCGAACTCACTGGGAGATTTTGCACCAAATGAGTCCAGTATGTTACTACACTAGGCTATTAAAAAGGCTTATGTTAATTAAATTTAAAGATAATTCACTCTTGAAAAGAACTATGTAACTGGAGTGCGCTGAAAAACAGTAACCGAATAGGATACTAAACCTGTGGTTACTAGACTATGTTTACCAAACATGTTAACCTGTGGTTACTAAACTGTTCCTTTGGGATGACTGTGCTATCTGCATTCTTCTGAGAAGTACACAGGTACTAAACACTTTGTGGCCAGCTTGATTGACTGTGAGTCAATCACATGAAATTTATATTTAAAATAATGCCTCTTCCCCCCATCACCCCTTTTTTCTCTTTCTCTTAAAGCCCAAAGGGCCAGCTATGATACATGTAAGGACAATTTCTAAACTATTTTAATTTCAACCCTTTTTACAATAAGGTTGGATTTGCTTTGGTTAGAATTATTGCTAAAAAAAAATCCTGCACAGATGCAAAGATGTATTTTTTGTTTCCCAACAGACAAAACATGGCTGATAAAATTTCCATTGAACATCACCACAGAGTAGGGCACAAGAGATGTTGGTACGAACGGAGGTGAGGAAAGGTTTTTGAAAACGCAGTCATGCAGTTTAGTAGCGAATTACTGTTACTGTTAGTTGCAGATCTGATATTTGTGCCCTTTAAACATGATTTCAGTCTGTTTAGCAATTTGGACAGTTCTCAGACAGTAGGGGCTTCCTGTGACTCCAGAATCTCTGTATGAGCAAGTGTACGTGAGGAAAGGCCATGGAATAAAACAGTTTGCAGAAAGTCTTTTTTGCAAAGGAAGTTTCTTCCAGGCTTGAATTTCTGGAGGAGGTGACGAATATACTGAAAATGCAAACATAAAGATAACTCTGACAGTCATGAAAAGAAGATCTGAGTGCTCCCCCATGCTAGAAAGTAAGGAAAAAAAGAGAAGAGGGAAAAATTGCTCATGATTTACCTAGGGAAAAAAAGGAAAAGATTGCTTATTCTGAGTAAATAAGAATAATACAAGTTGCAATGACATTATAAGCTCAATTGAAATTATTGTATTTGTTATAATACCATTTCTCCAGGATTTTTTTTTGTGCATAGAATAATTTATTCTCATTTTGTACTAGTAACCTTGACAATGAAGTGTTTCTTATTAATACTGAAATAATATTTTACTTAGCTTGTGGCATTCTCAACACTTTACAAACAAAAATGTTTATTATTACTATTGCATGCATACAATTTTTGTTAGCTATCTCACTTTATTAAATAATTTGGAATATTCTGTTATGGAACTACTTTGTGAAATTACATGAATTACACCACTGGAATACGACCTGATTTATTACAGGAAGACCAAAGCATAGCTCAAGTACTCAGTGCGTTATCCTAAATGAAGCTTTGTCTCTGAGGGCTGCCATAGCCTTCAACTGCACCATTATGTTTCAGCCATTGATTTCCCTCTAGAACACAAATGCTTTAATAATACAGCTTGGTAAATGTTTTCTCAGTATTGAATAAATGCCTGTTCTGTCAAGGGGGTGTCAAATTCTTTTGCTAAGCTGTCTGTCATGTGTTATTTCCTTTGCTTTTGTCAGCAGAGATGAGCTAAATAAGTTTGGTAACTCAGGTTTTGAGTAAGTGTGGATTGCAAAAGAAGTAGAAGAGATGGAAAGCAACTTTTCAAGGCCTGCTTGTTTACATATCTTTGATTGCAGTGGTTCCCAGCTCTGTCAGAGGAAGCCTCACTGCTGTTGCTGCCTTTTCTTCTATTTGAATAATACAAGCTATGTATTTGAATAGTACACTCTCCCTGTGTTTGCTCGCCCTGCTCTGACACCATCGCTGTTTCCTCCATACCTTGTCCCTTCAAGGCCGTGAGCAGATCCTTTCTCACCTCCTGCAGCACAGTTTATCCCAAAGGGACCTAAGGGTGGGGAGAGGCAAAGCAAAATCAAATTATAATTGAGGCTGGAGGGGGCTCTGGGTTGCAAGCCAGGGGGAACACCTCGGTGACACTGTGCAAAGCTCCTAGGAGAGTGGAAAGATGCTCAAGTGAAAGTGGCTGTGGTTGTAAGATGAGGGGATTGCAGAGGTTGCTCAGAGGCTGACCAAGAGATATCTATCAGCAGTGAGTTTCATGGTTTATTGTTTTTAAAATTATTTGTTTTACCGTCTTTTAAAATTATTTGGTTTTATGTTTGCCACCTTTTTTCATATACTATAGGACAAAGTAATTACTAATTACTAGGGCATTTTATCTGTATAACATGATAAAATATCTGTGTGATGCATGATATGTATTCTTATAATTTAATAATCTGAAGCGTTTATTTGGAGTTGAAATGCTGGAAACTTGAAGCTTCCAAGCTGATGTATGTGATAAAGCAAACTGTAATCAAACCTTCTATGTGCTGTTACTAAAATATCAAATGTTAAGAAATTGTTGACAGACTGAAAAAAATATTGATAATGGACTTAAATTCTACTTTGTGTCCAGCTGCAGCTGAGAATCAGTAAGAAATAAAATAATACAGAAGCAGTGGCAACTATTTTGTGAAGATTAGTAGCTGACAGTGGTGGAATGCCAGAAAAATAGGTACACTTATTGCAATAAGTATGATTTCGTGCAGAAAATTATGTAGCTCCCGGTTTACATTTTGGACAACATTTTGGTAGTAAAAGCTCTTCTCACAAATCATAAAAATTTGCCTCCAATCACCTCTCTCACTGAAAACTCTGAGTGTAACCTCCATATGGGAACAACAAGAGCTATTTCTATGGGACACGAATGTCAGGAGAGTATTTGTTGTACTTTTCATTTTATCTGTCTTTAATTTAGCACATACTAGGAGAAAGAAGTTATCTCTAAGGTGATCAGCAAGTATAGGCTTGCAGACTTTTCTTCTGCATTTAATACAAATATTTCTGAAATAAACAAATGAACAAATAAATAGAACTAATTAGAAAAAAGAAGGAAATAGAGGAAGAAATACTGAGTTCACAGACTGACCTGGGTTAGATAGACTTTAGATGAAATGTTAGCTGAGAAAGAATCAGTGAAGTCTTATCATTGAGCTATAGCTGTGGGACAAAGTAAAGTTGCCCAAACGCCAACTCACACTTTGCAGAACTTTTGTTAGCAAGACAGCATAAGTGAATACACTTTTGACTACTATATTGGTTACTGACCTGACATAATCAAGGCGTGAGAAAGAAGAACACTGTGCAGTACTTCAGCGTGTATTTTTAAGATACATAAGTTCCAGTAGGCCAAAAACTTTTCATAATACTTTTCTAAGGTGAATAAATGCTCCTTCCAAGCTCAGTTTACTCGGCACTTGGAAAAAGGGATCATACAAATGGCAAGGAAACACTCCACTGCACAGTGACTGTCCCACCAGAGGGGAAGGTCTTCAAGATTTCAATAGTGACCTTGTTTTTTATGAGCATTCTGAGAACAGAATTGCAGATATCGATGTTTATTAGCTCTTGGTGCATGTGTAAAGGGTGAAGAGGAAATAATGATGTGCCCCTTTCAAATCCCTGCATTATAACTTAGCCAAAGTAGGCTAGCTCTGCTCGATATGCCTGTAAAGCACGGACTGTGGAACTGTGAACCAAACAGAGCTCTGTAAATACAGAACATTAACCCTGTGTATGTGTGGGTGCTTGGGTTTAACAAAATTAGGTGCAGGGCATCAAAACAAATTAAGTAACATGACTTTTTTTAATGATTAAGACTTACATTTTTGTATTCAGTAAGATACAGTTTTTTAATTGTATTTTAAACTTAGGCTATCAGACAAAATCTATGTTGAGCTTTGAGTATTGCATTTATACAAATAATTGAATGCACATAATTCATTTAGAATATTAATAAAATGCTTCAAGGAAAGGATTGTTGTTACAGGTTTTATTTCTCCAGCCATTAAATAAGATGACCGTTTTGCCCAGGAAGTCTTTCCTGGAAGTGTTGTCAGTTGATACAGCAGTGTTTCTATTGCAGATGCAGGAGTAGGACGCTGTCATTAGCCTCTGATAACAGCCTGTTCCCATAACATTATCCCATAAATAAATGAATGCGTAAGCATACACTGGGATGAATGCACTTCAGGTAAAGGCCTAGGAAAGTAATAATCACAGGATTTGGTGTGACATTTTGCCAGTGCTCTCACATACTCTTGACTTTTCTGACATTTGTTTTTTCACCTCGTAAGTATTTCTGCAAAGTAAGCAAACTATTAAATGACACTGGCTTTCTTGGAGAGATTATGTATGTTAATAAAATTTAGTTAGACAAGAGGTATTCATGCATATTTTTCATTAGGGCAGAAAAGAAAAAGTCAGTTTCATAGTAGAGAGGGAGTATTCTGAAGAGCAGCACTTAATCATTCTCTTCTGAAATGTTTCTTTCAAAAATGCTCTAAATTTGGAAAAGAAATGGAAAATGAACTCACACCTGCGATAAGAAAAATAAAACTGAATGCCCTGTGCAACGGAGGAGGCTGATGAGAATATAAGTGTTCCTCTGAGTCTTCTAAAAGAAACCAGGTTGTGCGCTTTGTAAGAACCAAGGAAGAACTTAAAACACCTTACACTTCTTAACCCTGTTGCAACTTTGATCGTTTCTCTTTTTAAGCAATCATTATACCTGGATTTGGCAAAGAGAAGTGCAACTGCTTTCTGCTCAGTTCAGACAACGAACTGTTGTGTTTTGCAATATCTTTTTCACTGTAATGAAATCTTTCTCTCTGTTTTAGACAAATACCACTTGCTGTGTCATAGCACATGGATTTCAGGACTGCCTGTGAAGAGGTAGGATCAGATATTTTTCTTTTCAAACAGTAGTAGAATCAAAATCAATATACTCTTAATCCTTTTCATATGCAAAATCCTTTTTTACTCTTTTTTTCTGAAATGAGAGGAATTATATAATCAATCAAATGCAAGTTACTTGGCTGATTCCTTTATGGTAGCAGACAGGCTTTATAGTGGAACATGAAGGGATTTACTGAGGTGAATTCATTATTAACCCTCGCCTCTGTCCGTTCCAATACACCTCTTTGGGCCCAATGTAGGTGCAGGTTTCTGTGTTTTGTGTGAGTTTTGTTCCTCGTGAAGTGCCTATCTGAAAGCCTGTACATGAAGAAATATGTAATGGAGCCAGAAATCTGTCTATCAGTGTCCAGCAAAATCAAGGGGAAAGTGCAGGAGTATGCGAAAAGGGTACGTATGGAGGGAGGCTGTGAACATAACCAAAATGGAAAAATACTTTCATTCTAATTTGCTCAATACTTTCATTTGATTTGACTCTAAAATATATATAGTTTCATAATATCAGTGCAAACCAATGCAATCTCCCTCCACTTAAGATGGAGGAAGTGCTTGGGTTTCTGTATTGGTACTAATTTTGCCTTAAAGAAAGTAAATGAGATATACTTTGTAGATGTTAAAAAAGATATCACGTTTACTGAATGATTATCGATGAACTGATTGTTGTAATATGTTTTCACAACTTTAGCAACTGAGGCACAGTGAGAACCATTTCATGTCAGTGAGATAGTGATGTCAGTGCATTGTTATGGTTAAAACATAATGAAAATTACCTACTACCTGAAAATAGTAAACAATATTTAGGAAGTTATGCCTGCGGACAAGAAAACTTTGACCATATCTTTAAGTTTGACCATAGCTCCATGGCTCTGTGACGGAAGTGAAGGGATGGGAACAGCAGTAGGACCAAGAACTCATTGCAGCTAAAGAGCAATTTTGTAATTTTGGCTTGGGAACCAATTAGTATAAATTAGGGGAAAATAATGAAGAAAAAAGAAAAGTTTGAAGGATATTAAAAAATTGCAACATTCTGAAAGGTGTAGCAGGGTGAAAAAGTGGTATTAAAGTGAAACTTGCCTATGGAAAGGATATCATGGTGGTTGTCCAGGTTGCAATGTGACAGGCTTTAATATCTCAGAAGATCCTTTTAAGATCTAAATTCCGTAATACTGTAGATCCCTGATTACCAGCCTGGAAAAATACATTTCTGGTTACGTTGTTCCTTGGTTCTTTTTGAATGCATTTATTGAGCAGAAGAGGCAGATCCACATTATTTTCTCAGCATTTTTATGTAGTTATTAAAATTATAGGCTAGTAGAGAATATTTAGTGTCAATTAAGTTCACTCTACGCCCAGCAGCAGTAACAAAAACAGCAACCACAGAAAGATGACCTGGAACATGAATCTCATCCTAGCCTTTACAGTACAAGGACACTGACATATTTGTTTCATTCAGTGTCTGGCTTCTAATGGGAGGATTAATTTCACCCAGATTTAGCTCTCAAGAATTCACCTTGTTTGAGCTCCCACTACAGGCAATGGAAGGAGAGGGAGAATCCATGATCTGGAGAATCTAAACAAGTAGCTTTAACTTCTAAATTAATAAAACTAAATGAAGTGGATTCAATCCCAGTTTATCTGCGCTGTATAAAATAAGCTTTGTACTAGTGGGCCACCTTTGAGAAACTTAAAATTATAATTATTGCCACTTTCCTTCCCAACACGATGTTAATAAAACGTAGACTTTCGACCTACATTCATTAAATAAATGCCTGAGCCTTATTCTTTCACAAAGTGTAATTTTTAACTAAAACCTCATCGCTATCATTGTAAGGCATCATCCAAAGGTTGTGTTGTATCTACATCTACTGCTTTGTTTTCAAAAGGATCCATTTTTGCTGCACCGCTGATGTCGGTGCCTTCCTTTGAACTGCTGCTATCCAAGCTTTAAGACATTACTTGATGTTATCGTTTCAGTCCAGTATGCGATGTAATCATCCATTCTATTAGATAATTCAATTCAAAAATATCCTTTGTTTAAGTAGCTAACTAGTCAGTGCCTTTACAACTTTTAGCCTTCTTTCCCCTCTGTCCCTATTTGTATCAAATTCTCAGTCATACTCTGTATTCAAGAAAAATAATCTCCAGTCTTGTATTCCAAAATAGTTACTAGATTGCTTTTGATAACGGCAATAAAAGTTGGCATGAGGCATCTTGGCTCTTGGGCCTTCCTCTTCTCCACCTCGTTGTTTCTTTTCTTCTGAATATCCATTGCCTTTCTTTCCCCACCTTCCTGATCTATAACCACCACCACTGCAGAGGGATTGAGATTGCTCTGCCAAGATGAATGAGCTGGGCTCTGACTTTCCTCGCTGGTATTTCATCGCCATCCTTGCTAATGGCAGTACATGGTTTGAGTTAAATTTCAACTAGCCTAAGAAACAAAATATCCCATGCAAATGCATTATTAAATGATTTCAAAGCCGTAAGTCTATCCAACTGCTGTTTTTGCCCCTATCCACAGCTTTCTGAACCTTGCAAGAGCATAAATCATAGAACCACTCGGCTATTTAAACTCTCTCCTGTCTCCTTGATCCTATTCTATATTCAGAACACTGTCTTTTGGAGGATAACCTCATTCTCTGAAATATTTAAGTCCTATCTACTGAAAGTACTTTCCTTGTAAGACCAAAGACTTGGAATGATTATAACTCCAAAAGGATGTTTCCCTGTTAGATGCCATTTCCGTTTTTTGCAAATTGTTATTTTCCATATATTTTGTAAGCAGGCGGCATTAGCAGAACCCTGCTTTCTAAATTCTGAATCTCATTCTTTACTTCTACTGTTTCTGACTTTTTATCCCACTAATATCACTTTAAGCTTATTTAAATTTAAAAATATCCCATTTGCATTCAGGCTGATAGTCTGTTTGTCTGTGCTTGTAATATTATCCTTTGCTCCTTTGAAGGATTCCTTTGAACTTGTACGGTGTGGTCATCTGCTTTATGAATCATACGAACGTTCTTCCAGACCTTGCAAACTTTGTAATTTTATACATTCTGTAGTAGTTCACAAACTTATTTTTAAGACCCTGAGAACTGTGTTTACCCTTTTTGCTAGCCACAGAATGTGTTTTAATCTGTGAACAGTGTTGACTTTCTCTTGACTTTCTTTCGTTAAGTCTTGTCATATACTACTTCGAACTGTTCCTGGTGCCCGTTATGCATTTATAGTCTATATATTTCAGTCTAAGCTGGTAATTTCCATTTTTATAAATGCTATCAAATAGCACTGCAAGGATTTCTAATTCTTTCATTTTTTAAAATCAGGTTACACTCATAATTTACTCCCAAAACTGCAAGATGGAAAATGAAAGGCAACTTCCTTGCAATGCCGATGAGAATGGCATGTGATAGGAGACTTAGATTTGTGCTTCAGAAATATTAAGAAATATGCATATATCACATTAGTTTTCAGTTTTATGTTATCAGCCAATTTAAATCTCTTGGCCTCAACTGTAATGATATAATCCAGTCTTATTAAACTCATTGGCAAGTCCCATGTCAACACTTGTTTTCTTATAGCATCAAAAAGTTAAAGTTTTGCTTTAAAGAAGCACCTCAGTTCAGTAAGAACCTCATACATACATATATATATGTGTGTGTGTGTATATATATATATATATACTTTTCCAAATGTCTCATTTACATATTGAATTAATTAGACTGCATGAAACAAGTAAATTCTCTGTAAAAGTTTATTCTTTGGAGAAAACAACTTACCAAGAGTGCCATAGCCAAATATTCACACCTGGCAAATCAAAGAGAAAGCAGGTTAAGTCCAAATCCAACATTTTTTTTCAGATTGGAATGTAGAATTCACATGCAGGAAAGAACTTACTATCCTTTTGATTGTAAAGTGTTGATAAATGATAGAACAGGCTTTGAAAATGTCTTTTAGGACCTGAATGACAAACTAAACACATCCATGTGTCTCTAGGCTGCTTTCCAATTTTTGACAATGTAAATGTTTTCTACCTACACCAGCAGCACTCCCACAGAATGAGTAGCTGCACTGTTTGAAAAACATCCTTTATGTGGTTTTGACACATATTCCTGCCTCTAGTATTCATTGCCATTACCACCTTATCACGCTGATTCCAGTTCCTTTTTTATTACTATACTTGCCGTTATGTAACACCGACAGGAACATCTCCAAATGCCAAGAGGTCACCTTCAGTACAACTAAGCGTCCAGAAGTTCAGGTATTCATCAGAAGTGAGCTACCTCTGCTATTTAAAGCAGTTTCTGTTTACTGGTATCAGTAATCAATTGTTCTCCTTACTGATATCAGATTCTTCATGGTGAAACTGGATTTCAGGGCATTGCAGAGGTTTATTATGCTGTACGATGTACCAGCCAGAGAATAAATTTAAAATTCAGCCCCTCTTGCAATGAGAATGTGTTTGGAGATTTTTTCTCTCCATGAACATCACACCAAACTGTTTATAAGTATTTATAAATTCTTTCAATGCTATTAGGGCCAGATCTTACACACAGCCAATACAGCCACATGGTATAAATCATAGTATAGTGTAAAAATACTTTTAAAGGCTTTTTCTTCGCTGCCTTGGTGCTAATAATGGTCTAAGTATGAGCAGACTTTGTAGAAGCATGATGAGCGTGACTTTGTAGAAGCAGTCTGCCTTGAGGACTATTCTCTACTAGTGGTCCAAGGAAGAAAGTTCAACACAGACTGGTGTTGCAAAGCAATGGAGGAATCAGTTTTCAGTCCCCTTCCTAGTTACATTAGTTTAGGAGCAATAAGCAGATTCTGAGCTCCTGCTAAGGACATCAGCTCTTGCCAAGTCAATGCTCCTACGTAACCTGGCTGAAAAGGGTGTAGCACCAGATCGTGGAGGCAGCGCTTTGCAGGCGCAAACTTCACTGCATCTGTCACTTAGGTACAGCTACCTTCTTTCATCACTGCTTTTGCTTGAAGTCATTCACTTCTCTCCCCCATACAAACTCATTCTTTCATGGCTGTTTTTCCCTTACCTGTTCCTTAGCCTACCTCACCCACTTCATATACATGCACAACTTCCACCAGTCTATTTTCTCGCCCTCTTTACAACAGGTGCCTAACTCTATAAACAGCATGAAGAATATAGGAAGATATAAATGTAAGCAGGATGGTGTTGCTGGCAATTTAGGCTCAAAGGTACAGTCAAGGTGTATTTGCTTAATAAAGTATTATCAGCTGAACTACTTTTGTCTATCCATGTCAATCGCAAGGCAATACAGTTTATTATATATTTGAGCAAAAGAGGATGCCTTGCATGACCTCGCACTGACAGTTACCATAGCTCAGCTGATGTGTCATGTGCTGTTTTATTGCTGTAAGTCAGGGGTCGGGCAGGATCCTCTGACACAGTGAAATACAGAAGGCTTGAAGGGAAAATTTTAGCACATTCTTTTACTGGAATCTCTTAAAAATTAGAAATAGGAACAAAATCTACAGTCAGCCACAACTCCTCCCCGCAGTCCACACATACTGCCTGTCTAAGCCCCTCAAATGTGTGAGGTGGCAGGGGTATAGACTAGAGAAGCCTGTCTGATCTCCAAGCAGGACTATTCCACACGGAGGATGAATGTTGATGTGCCCTATAATTTTACATGGAAGCATGTATACAGACAGTCTTCCCTGTGTTTCACCCCTGGATGAGGGTGGTGCAGGAGTTCATATCTTGATTCAATTCAGTTTACTGGATCCTCTGGAAGAAAAAAAAAAAAAGAAAAGAAAAGTCAGTAGACAAAAATGAAACATAATGAAGAAGGTTAAATAACAGTCTTTATTCGCAAGGCTTGTCTTGAGCTTATTTGATGAACCCAAACTACGTCAAACTACGTTTTTACCATCATCTTCTAGGATCTTCTCCTTTACATGGTTGTTAATGCTGCAGTCAGGTAGGAGAGGGAAGGAGGTAACATAACTGAAGACTTAATTTTTAACTGTATCATAAACCAACTTTCATAAAGCCTAGCAACAGTAATGCGGTTCATTACATTTTAGAGTGTGTGATGTAAATCAGATCTCTGAGCGTGTGTGATCAGTCTTTTAAAGGTCCACAGTGTTTTCCTATTCCCATGCTTGATTTCCCTGTCCAGAGTGAATAAACTCTGCTCACATGCATTTAGAAACCAACTTGAATTTTAGCTTTATTCTAATGCCTAATTGTGTCTGATATGGTTATGTGCATCTTAATTCCCACAAAGAAGTCCCTCAGCTTTTTGCAGAAAGCTTCTCTGGAGATTTTATAGGGTAATTGACCAAATCAGAAATGTGCAGTCAAGCAAGGCAGAGCTACTAAAAGCAATGTATCAGAGACAGCATCTACCTCATTGCCAGGGCAAGAGGAAAGGCATGTCTGCAAAATCTTCTGCAGCAAAAAGGCATTTTATAGTTGTAGGTGTTTATGGGCCAGTCCCTTTTATTTTACTTTAGTTATTTGTAGCTCTCTGTGTTCAACTTTCACTGTCACTGCTTGCTTCACAACTGCATGAAAATAAGCATCTTCTTATTCTGTGTACAGAAGTTATAAAGGAGAAGGAGGAGGGGATTTTAACTGTTTTGCATTCTCTTTATTTTAATGACATAACGGTTTATGTATTGCTATTTTATGGGAGGGAAATTTTTAGTGATATTGGAAAAATAGCTATTTATGCTGATCTATTTATTTAATTGTTCTATCCATAGCAATCAGTTTCTATCTCATCCAATTAAAAAAAAAAAAAAAAGAGACACTTAAATAGTAGAACAAGGCTGCATGAGGCCTTCTGAGGTAAGCTTCCACTGACCTCAGTGTGAATTTGGCAAATGGAACTCTTTATGTTTGCTTCCTGTTACTTAATTTAAAAAGAATAAAAACAAATCTCAAAGCCACTTTCAAAGATATGGCTAAATTATGCTGATATGATTCTGATGTCCAAGGGAAAATACTCTCACACGTTTGATTGCTTGTCATGGAGTAGAAGTAACAGAACAGAGTTGTCAGTGCAGAATATTATATAGAGCTATTTAGAGGTTGTCCTCGACCTGCCACCTCTCTTAAGGTGTAGCAGAGCAATTTAAACTTTTCTTCTTCTAGTTGCCTATTGCCAATTGCGCATTTTTTTTTTCTTTTTTCTCTCCATATTATGGATACAAGGTGTCAGAGCAAATTATGGGGAGATCTTCCAAATGCTTTTCAAACATTTACCTGAGATAGAGTCCTCAGATTCAGCCAGGTCACCCTCAGCAGAGAAAGTCACAGCAAGAATTTTGTTTCCTTCCTCACAAAAACCTTTTTACAGCTAGTAGGTTAAAATTTGACCTGAATGATGATACTGGATGTTTTTATTATTGGCATATATGAATCCAAGATTTTAACTCATTTTTATCTAAGAATTGTTTCAGATATATGTATATGTATATATGTATATGTATATGTGTATATATATGTTTCAGATAGATATAGCTATATAATATTTGTAAAATGTACATTGTAGTAATAAATTTTTAGTTGATTTGTAAGCATGTTTCTCATACCAAAAAAAACCCTAGCAACATGACTTTTATAAAGTATATACAGAACACTATTTTCAATACACCCTTCAGGGAAAGATTATTAAATGCTGCAGGTGGTTACATGCAGGTGGTTACATACAGAGTTTATCCCTGCTCAAACCTTTTATATATAATGCCAAAAAAATAGTGTAATAGGTGTTGCCACAATAGCACAAATTGATGGAAAGTTATTTACTGTATATTGAAGAATCCTGCAAAATTCCTGACTTCTAACTGTAAACATAAAATATAGAAGCAGAGCATGAAGTCAGTTAATAGAGGAATTCTCATTCTTTGATATCTTTTCTCTTATTCCTAACTACAGCATCCTCATTTGAAAAATAGCATAAAAGCCTACATCAGTGTTCTTGCTCAGAGATCAGAAAAAGCTCACGAGTTAGAGTAGGCTGCTACTAGGTATGTTTAGCACTGGTTATTTTTGAGGTATTACTCTATGTCTATATTGGTGTAATATGCAGGAACTTCAGCTTTTATTTCATATCCAAGTGAGGTATCGTCATTTAATCCAGTGCTGGAGAATATGAGGAAAGCTGCCCTTAAGCTAATGACAGGAGTTTCACTAATTCGTCATGGGCAAAATAGGGCCTTATTATACCAAAATCTACCTTTGCCACTTGCTACCCTCACCATCATTATCTTGCAGTCTGAGCACAATAAATAAATATAGTGATCACTGGCCATAGCTTTGGGTATGTGTTGATATATTTATGGTAATGGTACTGATCTCTCAGCTAAGATCTTTCAATTATTCTATTTCAAAATACGGTTGTTGGCAATTACAGCTTGCCAACTAATAACTTTTTTTCTCTATTTCTTCCTCTGAAGACAAAGACAGGGATTTGCTTGCTGCAGGATGGTAACCAGGAGCCTTTCAAAGTGCGACTGCACTTAGCCAAAGATATTTTGATGATCCAGGAGCAGGATGTGATCTGTGTGTCTGGTGAGCCTTTCTATTCTGGTGTAAGTAGTCTTTATTTCTTCTTTTAAGATGCACTTTATAAAAAGTAGATACTCTGTGTGTGTGTGCATATGCACATATGTTTATTCTCACAAGTTGTTATTTCATTGCATACAGTTAACACTGAGTTTATTTTAATGTATCATCTATTAAGACTGAAGTGCTGATCTAGGAAGCAGCACTGCATTCACCCTTAGATCCTAAAGCCACTGAATACAGTAAGAATGATGTAAGCAGTGTCTTTTCTTGTGAATACAGACACCTCAACATACTTACGTATCTGAGTAATGTCTATAGACTTGATGAACCATTCACATAGTAACTGTTATGTCAGGGCATTGCTAGATCAAGGTGCAGGAATTATTTGACTATTGCTCTCTGTAGCTTTGGTCGTTTGATATGCTTGCGTAACACTAAAATTCATGCATGTTACCAGTCCATGCAGTGAGGGTCATTAGTGGAAGCAGCCATTAATAAAGCCTCAGTTCAGCTGGATCAGTGTAATATTTTAGTTTATATAGCATTATTTTGACATGACCTATCAAATTTCTTGTTGAAGCTTTATATTGAATTTTGTAGGTAAGAAATTGAACTTTGTAGACAATTATTTGAAAGGTTTGTAAAATGTTATACAGAATATTGTAGTTTTTTTTAAGTATTGTAATGCTAAATTTTTATTTCATTGTAGAAAATAGCTGAAAACCTAATATAAATCATTTGCTATTCATTTCTATAGGCATTTTTATAGATACTGTAATTATATTTTATGGAGATAGTTTTATGATTTTTTGGAAACTGTTATGAACATTCTATTTGCCCTTTAAGCTGAATACAACTATTGTAGGTTTTCATATTGTGAGGCATAGTGGTATAGTATCTTTTTATGCACATATTATCTGACTGCTATTAGGCTCTGTATTATTAATTAATTGTGGCGGTTACCATGTTTCTGTATCTCAAAATATAAGTATAACAAAAAGATACAAAGTATAAACCAGAAATAAATTGATAAAACACTATAAATGCTAACACTGCGGAAGATCAATGGAGAATGTATAGGAAAATCCACTGGACTGATAGCAACATCTGAAAGTGAATGATTCTGAGTTTTCCCCTGAAGCAAGCGGGACACACTGTTTGCACTGTCTCCATATATGGTGGGTTAATTTGCATGGACAAATCTTGCTTTTATTAATTTACTAATGTGGATGTGCTGTATATGGAATATAGCAGTTTCTTTTACCAATCAAAGTGTACTGTTTCTTTCAGCAACATACAGGACCTTTAGCAGCCCAGGCAGAAAGAAATCATAAGTTCAAGCACAGGCTACAGTTGTTCAGTTAGCAGTATACTCTGCAGCACTATTACTCCATCAGCCCCATTCGGACTTTATTTATTAGAAGAGTTTATCACTCAAAAATACGACTTTCATTAATGTGCTGTAATATCTATTACTTCTGCTGAATTTGGCATTTAAATGTCTTCATGAAATGCATATTTAATAACTTTTCCTTTCACAGCAAGACTTTCTTTTACAATTTTACCCTCTTTAGTTTCACCACAGCATTGTAGAAAATAGTGAATAATTTGCTTTATTAATTACGCTGCGCCTATTCTATTTGCATATTGAGTGCATAACTCATTAACAGATTGATATTAATGTGGTGATGAGGAGTTTCTTTTCTCTTGGTAGTGTTATTGTTAAGCTAGTGACTTTTGAGCCCTCTACCCTGATTTCCTCTGGGATTAAGACTGGATCTTGACTCAGTAGATTCATTCTGGCGAAGGATGATTGGCATTTCATGGATAGTTAACTCTCCTTTTGTCACAGGCCATTTAAATCATCCAAATCATCTGCTTTGGTTGTATAGCATGATTAGACAAGTCCCACAGGTTTTTTTTTTTTTTTTCCCTATTTTTATTCCTGATGTTATAAGGTTGCTTTCTCGTTTGTTTATTTTACTTACCTTTTATTTTGCTTGGCTGATTTTCCTTTGTTCTTGATGTCATTCTGGATGACTGACCATGTCTATTTTTCTTTTGTGTACTTTCTACAGTGCAAGTGGTCTAATTAGAAACTAGCATTGAATGCTTCATAGAATAAGACTCTAAAGGATAAAAATGTAATTTTTAACTGAGGAACAACAGCATTGTTAAATTTTATGGACAAGTAGCTACAGTAGAAGTGCTTTTTGATCTGTCTTAATAAACAGTCTTCATATAATTTGATTATAAGTTTTACTTTTCACTGCTGCACTGTTTTAGGAACCCAATGCTATTACTGTGCTTCCAGTTCAGAACAGTGACTTTACTGTTTGTGAAGTCTGAAGCAATTTGCATGCTGTTCTGCATAGGTCAGACTTTAAGCAGGTGCTTAATGTTCCAGTGGCATCCTGATCTGCATCCTATGGGATAATGTAAATTAAATCAATGGACCTAGTAGACTATGTGAGTATATGGAATGATGACCTAGATGTTAATTTAGAATGCTTAATTTTTAGTGGAAAATGATTCTGATTTCTGAAAACGAAAGAGATACAAAGAAGCCTTGTTTCTTCTTTCATTGTATACAATTTGGAGCAAGAAAATCAAATCTGTAAAAGACTGTAAGCAGTATAGTATTAAAATAGTGCTAAGCTCCAAAAAAGAAAGCACTTTCTTTTCTTTAGCAGCTTGAACTGTGCTAGTGTTAGGGAGGTTCCTGTAGCCATTCTACCTATAGCAACTCCCTAGAGCATTTCAGTTCAAACAATCATGGATGAGATCTAAATTCAAGCATCAGTTGCACCAATAGATATTGCAGAGATTTCTCTATAGGCACAACATGAAAGACTTGCTTTCCAAGGGATAGAAATGTACTGGCTTCAGCATCATGCTACTGGTGGGTATCTGATGTAGATTTGTGCTTCGGTGCTGATGACCAAAGTGTGAGATGAGAACATTCAGTGAAAGTCAGAATCTAGAAAGACGTGTCTTTACTAACCCAAATGAAATCCTTGCCTATAGAGAGGTGTTACAGTATGCAATGTTTATGTCTGAATTGATGAGTGATGTATGTGCTGACGATATCCACAAGTCTGTGTGTGAGAAAATTGGAAAGATAAGGCTGGTCACTGCTGGGTCAGATACATTTTTTTTTCCCTAAAGTACTAGACTCTCACAAAATGTCTGCTCCTAGCTGTGGTATTGCAAAATTATAAAACAGATTGCTTTATTATAATCTTCACAACTCCGTGAGAGTTACATGTGGTACAGACCAGTCAGGATTTTTAGTCTTTTCATCTGGGGGGGAAAAAAAAAAATCTCTTGAAAACAGCTGAATTACCATGACATAGGAACTTCAGCATTGATGGTAGAAGTATAGAATATTTTTATTTCATAATTCCTTATAAACATATCACTTAAATTACATGAAATTAAACTCACAAAAATTTGCTACATGGTATTCAAGATGGCAATGTGTGCTAAGGTAAACCCCAGTTTTTTTAGATGTATAGATCAATAGACTGGTCTAACACGGATGGCCTGATACTGACCTTAGTGAAAATTATGGGATGCGGGGGGGGGGATCTGAAATATGACTTTTGAGTAGGCACATTTCTAGGAAAAGATTCAATCTTTAAAATTATTTTGTTATATATTTGAATAGTCATAATTTCTGTCACCTCTTGTGAACATCTGAAATTCAAGTACAGATATTATTATGTTTTATTAATAAAGATAATTTAACTTTCTGGAGAGCCATAATGTTTTCTTCTTTGATAGGCTTTATTTGTTTGCTAATCCCTCCTCAGGCAAGCGGTGTTTTCTGCTAGAGTGTATCTGCGTATGATCTCCATAAACCAAGTATATGACAATGTAGACAAGAGGATGATCCAACTCAGCTACTGTTTTTCTAAAAGATCAAAAATAAACTGTGAGCAGATGGCAAAATGCTAAGTTTGGTCACTAGGACACTTTGTGTTCTTGCATAGTTTTCTTAAATTAAAGGTTCTGTTGAAAAGTCATAGAGTTGTCTGAAATAATATTAACTCACCTGATGGGAAGATACAAATGATTCTCATTCACTTTAAGTAATCAAATTCTATGCTGTTATGCAGTAATGCATTGCTTGATTAAACATCTGCTAGTTCTGTCAGTATTTTGTGAGTAAGGATCTTTATGGGAGATTGGGGTCTTTATGGGAGATTGCTATGATGATCATTCATGCTTTCTATACTAATAAAAAATTAATGCACGTTTTGTAAATTTATAGAGTAACAGCTCTCATGGAGAACTATAGTATTTGTCTAAGGATTTAACTAAGTTTGATACAAATGTATCTGTATGTGACTTGTGGACTATAGTTTATTCTCTTGATATATAAAAGGCTTTCATCAATAAACTCGTTTTACAAGCTCAGAAAGTAATACTGAGTTAAATTCTAGAACTGTAGTCAGATCTAATTTCTAACCTTATTAATCACACAACCATTCTTCGTTTTCTTGTAAAGATAACATATTTTATCTGACTTTTAAATTTGTCCTTTCGCTATTGTGAAGTCAAGCATATTGAAAGATTTATAACTCTATACAAGTCCATGTGGTATTACAGAAAAAATTAGTTGCATTAGAGATAGCTATTCAGTTTGTAAACTTTACACAGAGCCATGTTTTTTTTCAGTTTGTGATTTAAATTGTAAAGCTGTCATTCATTTTTAAGTATAAATTCAGAATATGTCACTTAACTGTGACTTGTGTGAGTAGTTAGATGATATTACTGCCTTGCTCCTTCTTACACCTTTTAGAATTGTGGATTCTTGCTGAGAGTGAATTTTGAATCCGTTATCTTGGAACATTTTTTTTTCGAGAGTTTGTAATTTTCTTTCCATGTATTTTAGTGTATGTAAAACAAGTCCAATTAATATTGGCAAAGTTAATAAGCAGAAAAATGAAAGAAGAGAGAATTTAAAAATAATTAATGTTTAGTTTTGGTTAATTTTCTATATTGTATTTATTTTTGT